CGAGTTCTGGATAATCAAACCCTAGTGAAAAGAAGCCACAAACTCCCATTTCCCTCCCATTTTGAAAAATTCAAATATCTATCTTTATATTAGACATTCTAAGAAATTTCTTCAAATATTATTAGAATATTCATTTGTCACACTACTAATAACAAAATGTCTTTTCCTCCTGAGCCTTGTATTAATATACTTGACACCATACCATGAATTTTATCCATGCAGTAATCATTTTACCGAACTATGTGTTATTGTCTGGCCCCCCCCCCATTTCAGATTGTCAGTATGCTTGCGCAACACAACAAATGTTACTGTAGGACTTAATAATGGAATTTATCTGTTTAATGGAATTATCATTTTCTATTTTTAGCTCCGATGAGGTCTTCTTAGCTCTACTGCCTCTGTTATACTGAGGCTAATTGATTAATAGTTGATTGATTAATAGATCTTAAATCTACTGCCTCTATTATACTGCCCTCATGAGGGGCTCTAGAAACTGTTGGCAGATCAGAGCTTTCAAGATTACGAGAACTTGTTTACAAATACCGGTACGTAATTTTCTGGTGTGTTTATTGGTAGGGTTTTTTGCAAGATATTGTTAGACGGGAACATGGCATAATCAGAAAAACATGTCATTGCTTTGGCAGGATAGACCACCCCCTCAAAGCATCATTGAAAATAACTAAATAAGTAATATAGGGCCTATAAATTGTTAATCAGTACTTAAGTTTGTTTTTTTTTTGTTTTTTTTAGTGTTTTTTCTACTGTAAGTTAATGAAGTTTGAATGTTTGTTTTATCGGTAATAGAGATAAATAAGATGGGATGTTAATTTTACTCCTCAACGGTTTAGTCATTCCACTTTCCTTCCTTTCAAAGTTCATTCTAGTCTTATTTTCAAGCCTGTGGCCTACATCTCTCTTGCTGTCTCATCAGCAAATTTGTCTTGGCTGAATTGATTAAAGATGTACGACAATGTCAATGAAACTACACATTATTCTTGTGCGAAAGAAGATTGTAAATGTTCTTAAAGTCTGCATGTGTCTTGTGTGAAGAGCAAAGATCAGGAATATTAGCAATGATTATCGAAGAAATAAGATACTTATGTGTATAGCTCAATATAACATATTGTACACCTCTAACAAAAAATTATATTAAATCATGGAACTGCATCAAATAATTTATCAACTTAAAATGAGATACAGAATCAACCAACAGGTTTAAAAACTTGTTCAGTTCATCCCTTTAGCCATTAAGCATTTCAATCATATATTCAAATGGTAAAATGGGTGTAAAAAGTGAAAAAAAAATGAAAATATTCAAGAAATTACAGCACTAAGACAATCTTATACCAAGGAAATACACCTTTAAGGGTCAATACAGTGCAAACTGGAAACCCCCAAATTTTCCGAATCCAATAAACAGAAATACACTATATCCTGTTTGTGATAGATTCACATAACTTCCCTGCTTTGTATTTGCATATAGATATTAATACCAGATTTTGGTGTACCGAACCCCGACAATGTTTTTGCCAGGTTTTTGTTTGATTCCTGTTCTGTCTGGTAATGATATTGATTTAATGTCAGGAAATTGCACACTCTCAACTCGCCCTGGTGATTTTGAAAATATTAATCTTGTTAATAGTATTAGGCCAAAAAAAAAAAAAAAAAAATTTGGCCACGTTTTGGGGAAAAATCCAAAAAATGGGTAGGTCAGTAGGAAATTTTTTTTTTTTTTTTTTTTTTTTTTTTTTTAACCAAAAATATGTTTACGCTTAAAAAGTAGAAAATACACAAATAGTACAACAGTTTTGGATTCGCATCACGTACCATGCACCAAAATAGGCAAAGGTCGTGGCCCCCTAGCCTAGTCCAAGGCTATTTCAGCCTTATTAGCTCATGAAAAAAAAATATTGTTCCTTGTAGTCAAGAAAAAACAAATATATAAAGAAAATAAAAGGCCGACCCTGAATTTCGTAAAATTTGGGTCGGTCAGGTGTGGCGAACACAATAATTTTTTTTATTTGGCCTTACCAATAGTATAGTAAATCTGTAAAAAGTAATATTAAAACTAAACATAAAGCGGTATGAAAGCAGTGCATGAAGTATTTTTGGAAATTTCATTTCCTCAGTGTTAAATCAAAAATTCATGTTGGCCCTCTGACCCATTTTTATGCCGATCCCTCACTGTAAGCACTGACGAACTATCTACAATTTGTTTGCTTAAATTTGAGTCCAGAGTTTAATTATAGTTTGTTGGTAAAATTCAAAAACCTCTACAAAATACATCCAGTCCCTATATAAAAATAAATATTAATAATAACTAATAATAACAACAATAACTTTATTTGCATTGGAGTGGAGGAGTTGGTTAATGGTTAAGATGCTTGCCTTCAAAATTCTTGAGTTCAATAATTTTATTTTATTCAGTTTAGGTACTCGTCCACGATGTTACTAAATTATAAGTGGCAATTATTTTCAAAAGATAAACATACACACACGGTGCTCCACCAATATAAATCAAATTTATATTATAAGGCCTAGGGAGTGAATTTATTTTTTGGCCGTGGAAAATGTTTTTGTCCTGTCATCTAACAGGATTTGAACCCAGGACTCTTTAATTTTAAGTCAATTATCTACCACCAAGTTACATCACACCTTGTAAAACATCAGGATTTTTTGCACAAAATAACTCAACTTCCAAACCTGTGCCAATAAGAATTCTGAATGATAGTTCTACTGTAGAGTATTCGACATAGTATGTTGTAGTAAACATCACATAGTTAACGAAATTGAGCATACGTTATGGTATATGTGGCACCGTCACATTACTTGACGTCAGTGACGTAATACCCTGTACTTCAGTTTGGTAACTAGTTAAGTTTACTGTTATTGAAGATTTGTTGCAGAATTAGGCTACTTTACCATAAAGTCAATAGCTTAAAGGTAAACAAAATGTTGAATAGTAAATTCCTATCAAAATGCATAAGTTTAAGCTTATGATTGTTTATACAAGTACACCTTGACCTTCAACATAGTAATGCACACTTCAAACTGAAAGATGGCTTATTAGTGAGTGCACTGATTGATGTGAATTTTTTATAGTAATAAATAGCCTTATAGTGTCACCTTAAAGATCAATAAATCTTGAGTAATAACATTCTTTAATAAATCAGACAATTGTATAAGTTGTATGATTGTTTTCATGCCTTGACCTTCGACATAGTCATCAGCACTTGAAACTATCAGATGGCTTATTGTGAGTGCACTTGTTGATGGATGTGAATTAATTTTGTTTTCAATAGAATTAAAAAGCCTTTTCTATAGAGTGTCACCATAACAATCAACAATTGTTGAGTAAAGAAGATCCTGTAAAAATGCAGATGATTTTACCATGGAGAAAATAAAACCTATTTTATTTTCTCCATGATTTTACAGTGTAAGTTGTATAAGCTGTATGATTATATGTTTATTTACTTTTAACCTTCAATAGAGCAGGGTCGTAGCTGTAGAAAACTAAGGGTGGGAGATATACATTTTAAGGGTGGGTAGATGATCATTAAAAAACTCTAAATAATAAGAGTGGATGGAAAAATGGGTTATTAAGAGTGGAGGGCCATAAAATTAGCTTTAGACTGGGTGGAAAACTTCAAGGCTGGGTGGCTACACCCACCATCTCTTGAAAACCATTAGATGGCTTATTAGTGAGTGATCTTGCCATTAGATGTGAATTAATTTGTTTTCATTATTATTTGTATAGTGGGTTACTAAATAGATTTGCTTCTTTAAAGTAAAAGGTTTTTTTCTCAAATTAATGATTCATGCACCAGGATTTAATGAGCTTAAAAAAGCATTTAAAAATGACAGACTTAGCCTCCTTTCCCCACCTCAATGTGACAATCTCTGGCCGCCCTACTTAGATATACGCATCACTTCAAATGCAGACTGCTGGCTGCTGTCAGTGGCTTATCATAATATAATGTTTTCTTTGGCGCTAAGTTACCTTCATGACTATCTGATTACATCGAGTCCCCCTGGGACTGCAAATAGATTCCCATCATTCAGCATCCCTTAGCAACAGCCACCTAGCAATAAGTTTTTAACCACAGGGTCAATTTTTTAACAGCTCTCAAATCTTGTTAGGATGTCATGTCCTTCGTCGACTCTGGCGTTCTTTGCTTGTTGACACACGCACACGCACCTGGTTGTTGCGTCCTGTGTTATCTCATTCGTATTAAACAACACACAAAAAAGATGAGCGATATATAAAACTACTTTCAATTAATGGCTATGTTTTAGGACTGTTGTCAGTCTTGGGTGGAAGTTAATATGATGCAAAGATTTGTTTTAATATGGGAGGGAGGCTAGTTAAGATATATGGTACAAATACTGGTTGTGTAGGTGGAGTCTGGTGACTAAGATTTCGGGCTGGTTAATGTATGTGATGAGAAGACATGAAGGTGTGTATTGGGGTGGGGCCTGCTTAAGAAAGAATATTTGAAGGTATATTGTTTCTGTGAAAGCTGGTTATTGTATCACACACAAATACCTGTTGCCCAGGGGTGGGGGAATATGTAATGAAGGAGAGTGAGCACTGTTTAAGACATTTTCATGTTATTTATTATAGAGGCATAAAGCATCACATATTTAATTTATTTAAGAGGGCTCCTGAATATCAGCCTACAGTACCTTCTAGGATACACAGGTAGAGTCACCCTCTATATATTGTTTTAAAAAATTAAAGGAAAGGTTTACTAATTTTCTCCTGGTAGAGATGGTGGTGAAAAAACATTTAGAACCCTCTATTGGAGAATCAGATTCCATGGCAACTTTTATGATTTTTCTGACAATATATTTGAATCGGAGTTCGCAATGAATCTATAGTAAAAACTGATGTAAGACTTTCAGCAAAGAAATGAATGTGATTAGCTCTATATACAAATTGATTTAACACTTAAGAATCATAAAGCAAATTCTACTGATAATTTTTAAATATCTTTCAGATTTGGTACGTCAGACAGTAAGCTTAGCACGATATCAAATGATTCTGAAACATTTGCAAAGGGGATGGAACACAGCATGACGCAAAAAAATCGCAAACGAAAAATGGGTGATGAAACCGGTACATTTCAAATATCAACTTCACTGGAAAGTAATTCAAAACAGACATCATGTTGTAACAAAGACAACGATGTAGTTTTAAAGAAAACCAGTGTAAAAGGCCCAAAATTAGGCCAAGTATCCAGGACTGTTTTTAACAAGACTTCTAAATGGCCAATGAGATGCAAGGTATCAGCTAGCCAATGTTATAGAAGAAAGAAGATTATGCAAATATGAAAAGATGTCCTTTGGAAGATTAATAAATAGTGGAAATCGATCAATTTTGAGTTAACTGAATGTTTATTTTGTTAGTTTCACTATGTTGGCTATTGAAATAGAAATCATTGTGACGTTCCTATCTCTGTGTTTGCTGTGATAAGTCTTAAGACAAGTTATAGTTACTCCATGCCCAAAAGTAATTAAACACAAAGGAAAACAAAATTTAATAAAAGGTGAACATTGAGATATAAAAAAGGGGTAAAATGTGCCTTCCGAGGGCCCGAATCCTAACCGGAGTCCAGTTTCAGCCTGCTTTGTTACTGTTTGAATGGTACCGTATACTATACATACATAACATCACTTATGGAATGCTATTTCCTGAAGATAGAGCACTCAAAGCGTGAACTACAGTAGCTTATACAGTAACTGTCTTCTCCCTTAAGGGAGCAGGCCAGTAAACCGGTACCAGCCACTCTCGTCTGTCCTCTAAATATAGGCATAAAACGATTGATGGTGCTTGCAAGAGGCTTCGTCGACCAGTATTAAATACCAAAAAGCCCTCAAAGATGATCAGACTTTTAACTTACTTCAGCCATATCAGTAATTTTTGCGACCTCCTTTCTGCTGATCTTACTCTATGTGTGTAAAAAGTTGATTTATGGGTAATAGTAGTTGAATACTGTACTTCAATGAAGAAAAAAATTCTACTGACACAGGGCCCACAACAGTAGGGAGCTTTCGATTTGTTTTGATGACACGGCGCTAGAACGGAATCACTCTTGCGTGACCATCCTACCGGGCATCTTACGTTCTCTGCATACATAGATTTGGCCAAATTGTGTCCAAGAATCCACGCGACGAGGAGAACTTAACATTCTCACATACGCAGATGACTTTTAGTGACGTCATTATGTTCTACGTCCTAACGTCGTTGTTCAATCGAAAGCACCCTATTTTCTCACCTCCGGCCACATTACTCGTTGTTACGCCACTGCCACACGCTCTTACAGTTTGTAATCCCCCATGCGATTCTCAACTGAAAACTTGCAAAGTAAACGCTTGGATCGAAATGCAAGTACCTTAACCACAGCTATATTCCACACTTATTGATTGATTGTACACAGGTATCAATTCTAGAAACATACAACATCTAAAAACATAAATATCTAAATTCTGTCGCAGCACCTTGACAGTAACCACTACCGACTCATATTTGAATTTCAAGCCCTCGTGGGATATACAAGTTATTATTAGTTTTCACCCAGTTTGTAGAATATCTGTTTAACAAGAGGCATGTTCAGTGTTGCTTGTCTGACTAACAGTTGCTGTTTATCTGCGTTTTGTTCAACTTTCAAGCTTATTGGAATGACCGGGGGAGGGGTGGCGTGGAATTGTTTTTCGAAAAAATTTCGAATGTACTGTAGCAATTAAGGAAGATCAATTGAAAATTGATTGTAATGTATTGTTGGAACAACTTGCACACTTTTATCACCGCAACTCACCAAATGCCCGAGGATGTTTGCCATTGAAATGTTTACCTGATGTTTTACATTAAACGCTTTTGTTTCTAATTGGTTTGGGGGGAAAATAAGTCATAACTCAGCCATCACAAACCATAATTATGACTAAACACAACCATGTCCTAAACTGAAAAGAAACTTAAAATTCTAGCTAAAGATCCAGGATAGTAAATAAGAAGTCAAGTTTGGGTGAATAGAGTAATGATTTGGATAGTTGCAATATAGTTCTCATTCATTTTATTGGCGGTAATCTCTGTGGGGTTCCATCCCTGTGTGTTACTGTGATAAAGCTTCAGGGGTTTAACTATTCCATGCCCCAAGTGAGAAAACAAGAGTTAAAAACATAAACATAAGAATGGTCATAGGTCTGTCACACCCAGAAAGACTAGACCAGCCCCACATACCGCGATTGGTAAACAATCCCAACCCCATATAATGTGAAGTTCACCCTCTCAAATTCACAACTGTCATATTGTTGCTTATGACAGCCATGCCGGTAGCTGGCCGAACCGCAAGTATAGAGTAAATGCGATACAGAATACATGATTACCATGGATCATAGAAAAAGAACAATTTACTGTACAGGTAAAAATAAAGTCGCACTAAATTGTAGTAATTATTTCTTTTAATTCAAAGTAAAGCACTTTGTAACAAAGTATATAAATACCGTACAATGAATAAAAACATCTGCCCTATTTAAGGTGTATAAAAGTAGGTGAATGGTCGAATGGGAAATAATAATAAATTGCGTACCTTAAATACATTGAATTATTGAAAACGTTAAAGTGAAGTGCAAATAAATTGCATGTTTTCTGCGGAATGTCAGCTTAAATAGTAAGAAGCGCGTCCTTTTTAGCAGGCTTGGCGTTTGTAGCCCTCTCGTGTTGTACGCAGTAGCAACGAGTCTGCTTGCAGGGAAGTCATTGTATTCCCGAACTTTTAACCAATCAAATACTTACGATCTATGTATGTGGTATAAAAATAAGCGACCTATTATTATAAATGTACAGTATTCTCTATGGTCTTTACAAAAATTATTGAAAACAAAATTATCGTCATTGTTAGCCCCTGGGGAGGATATTGTATATGTGTTCTCCTTAATTCTGTCGTCTTTGGTGATGTTACAGAGAATGATGCCTTCTGAAATTAACATGAATGCATGTAGAATTCAAAAACACAATCAAATTCCGTGCCCTTTCATATAACCGGGTCCCCATATGTCCATAAGTTTTTATGTCGCAGACAAATGTTCATAAAATATGAAGAGATGTAAAAACTATTATATCTACTATTCGTATCACATATAGGATGTAGGCCTTTTGAGCTTATACATAGCGTTATAATGTAAAATACATCAATTTGCGATAGACCTGTAGTGGCACAGGACAAACATAGCATAATGAGAATGGCATGGGAATGTATAACTTTATTAATAGATGGATTCCATGGATCAATCAAGTGCATGCTAGAGGACTATTTCTGGCCCTTAAAAACAAAGGTCACGTTGAATTTTACAAGAGATTTTCCGTAACAAATGGAGTCGCCGAAACGATAATGCTGACGAGATTTAGAGAAACAACAATATTCGAACGCAGTGCAGCCCTCACTTAGACGTCGCGCTTCCCTTCAAGAAAATATTACGCTGCCCCTCACGTAAACCTAATGATTTGAACGTATAGGCCTACACGAATTTATAATTTATCATTATTCATGGTTTGTTTATTAAAAACAACGTGCAAAGGCAGTATGAAACTGAAATGGAGCACATTTTACAAACGATAATCATTACAATTTTAAAAACGAGAAATTAAACTAATATGACAAATACATGACAAGTGAAATGGGATATTCTAAGCACTCGAAGATTATTGATAAATTTAAATATATTACAAATTTCAGAATTGATATATCGAAATATAGATTTAAAAGTGGAGCATTTAACCTGGTGAAATTTTAAAAGTAATTGAAGATTTAAACTAGGATATTAATGATTATTTACAATTATGAGTTATTAATATTTCAATTTATGACTTTATTATTATTATTATGTTCTTTTAATGTATTACTAACTTTGTTAATACAAACCTAAGAAAATCAAAGACCCAATTGTGAAATTTAAATTGGCACAAGCAGTCGTGCATCTCTAAGTTCAAAGTAAATAATTTTCACATTAGAGCGGTTCAGCAACACCCTGACCACTACTTATCACCTGGTCGTTTTCTAGGTCGCAAACAACGAAAAGACGTTTTGGTCAATTTTTTTTCTCGCCAGACGTTCGAAATAAACTAGGCCAAAAAGTTGTTTTTCTCTGTTGATTGTTGGTATTGGCTCTTCTCTTTCACTAACTTGTCAGTATAAATTAACATACACGGGCTTTATATCACTGATGATTGAGTTGTGCGAATCAAATTGAACATCTTCTGACTTTCCTCATGAAAAGATCTTCGAGTCACCGAACTGGGGCCAAAACAGCCATGGGTAGAAAAAGCAGTAGATACAGTATTATTAGTTGAAAGTCTACCGTAAAACCTCGAATAGAAGCCCCGGGCTTCTTTTTAAGGACCCTCGTTATAGGCTTCCTTTTGGGATGGGCTTGTTTTTTAGATGAGTTTTATTTTTGAGATTACTTTTGCAAACTGAAAGGGGGATTCTTTTCAAAATGAACGCTGTTAATATTTGGAATTGCTACTATAAATCTTTATAAGAATACTAAGGCCAATTTCTAACATGGAATTCGAAATTCTGATTAATATTTTTAAAAACTCACAAAATTAAAACGTTTTTATAATTAGTGATGATCATAACATGCCAACGACCATCTGTTAAACAAGTACTGTAAATATATAAATTATATTATAAAAATCACGCTTTTGATATACTATAATTTATTACCGGTACTATAGAATAGCAAGTAGCCTAGTAGGCCAATGTATAATTTATTAAACGTACATTTATAACTTATATTAATTATTAACAGTTTTCAAACTTTTAAGGAATTTATATAGCCGGACTGAACTTCAACCTACCTGCCCTGCTACCTTCTCCATTAAACGGCTTCTACGATTTGTGCATGCAAGACATTTTGTTAACCAAACGTTTCTATTATGATTGTGCTGGAATTAATCTTTAAAATAAAATAATATTGGTACTTACATGCTATCATAATCATCAAAGATAACGTCAGTCGGAATTTAAGTACTATCTCGAAAGGAGCCTACCACCATGGACCTATACAATCTTGATTTGAAGCCCACGTGGACTTCTTTTCTACAGGGGCTTCTTTTCAATATTACTTTTGCAAACTAAGTCTTCTCGAGATTAAGCCCAATGGGCTTCTATTCGCGGTGTTACGGTATTTGTTAACGCAGAGCACTCGAAACCTTAATCCCTGGGGCATCGAGTTTTCCTTTTATAGCCAGTAAAATATAGTTGTTTGTTTATTTCAATATATCTTGTACCGCAACTTCACTTTGTAGACTTGTTAAATGAATATAATTTCAAACGCAAATACACGTATTTACGTCACGTTTTATTTTTGACAG